AAAAAAAAAAAACATAGTTTATTTTTCTCGTTTTTTGAACTTCAAACACATATTTTCTATTTTATTCTTAAACTACATTGTTCAAAATTAACATTCCTTGACATACCTAACTAGAAATAACAATCGACACACCGCTCTCTTCTTTCGCTAAGACAACCACTATGGTGATCACTGGCGAGAAACACCTTAGACTGGATGGAGTGGTCACAATGGAACTCGACAATTGCCGACGTGGACTCGGGAACACCGCCCCATCTATTCGGTTTGCTCAATTCGGCATGGTGTTTTAGGATGAGACGAGAGAGAAATAGACTTTGAATTTGAAATTGCAATAATGGTCCTTACAAATTCTCTGTTGCTACATTTTTTATCCTAGAATTAAAGGGAAAATACTCTATTTACCCTTCAACTTTATAATTGTTCGCATTTGATTTATTCCTTTTGATATTTTAATACATTTATTAATTCAAATAAACATCTTTAATATAAGTTAACTATTAATATACCCCAAAATAAAAAATTATTTATAAAGTTCATCAAATATAATCAATATTTTTTATTCTTTTATCTAAAAATGTTAATGATACTCAGCAAAATTAATTTATTTATCATTATTATTTTATTTTGCTCAATTAAAGAATATTTAAAAAAATGTTAAATTTAAATTGAGGAAAAAATATGTCAACCCATCCGAAGACAAGATAGTCAAAGAATAGTGAAGAATGTGACAAAAAATAACATTAAACTAATCAATATTTTAACATTTGATTTGATATATTTTTTTTGTTTATTTTTATTTTTGACGTTTGATTTCACATCATTAGATTTTATATATATATATATAATAAAAATAATAAGATTAAAATATAAAATAAAAAAGAATTAAAAACCAATTTTATATAGTCGTTCAAATTTATAATGCCGTCCAATTTATAAAATGTTGTTCGAAATAATAATAATAATAATAATAAATAATTAAAAAACGATTTTATATAGTCGTTTCGTCCGAATTTATAATGTCGTCCGAATTATAAAATTTTCTTATAAATTTATAATAATAATAATAATATTAATATTAATTTTAATATTAAAACATAATAATAATAATAATAATAATAATAATAAATGAATTAAAAACAACAAAAAAACAAAATAGGAAAATAAAAAAATAAAAAAATAACAACAACAAAAAAATCAAATCAAGAGTGGAATTATAAAAAGGAGGAGAATACTTACAAAAACTTCATACATTAAACTTACCATGAAAAGTCACACGAATGGGAGTTGTATCCCCTTAAATGGTAGTATGGACATTTATATCATTATTTCTTTTCTTTTTTCGTTTTCCTTAATTCCTCTCTCTCTCTCTCTCTCTCTCTATATATATATATATATATATATATATATATATATATATATATATATATATAATGTGGTTTCAATTTTTAGCTAATTATAAATAAATAACTTATATAAAAATGTTATTGCATCATAAGGATCGGAGAAAATTACACGAATGGTCTCTATGGTTAGGGGTTACTTGCACGCTTAGTTCCTAAAAAGTATTTTTAACTTGGACCATCCCCAAAACTTATATTTGTTACCCGTCCACTTCCTAAACTAACTTGTTGTCTATTTTGTTGCTAAACTATAATGAAAAGACATATCTACCATTAGTTTATATTTAATATATAATTATTCTTAAACAGATAAAAACCAAATAAATCATATTCCACCCTAAAATATACCCTCACACTCCATAACCTAGAAACGACACTTCGTTGGAGGCGTCATCACCGATATGTCTTTAATTTGGCTATTCTCATATCTCCGATCAATCTCTTCCCCTCCCTTTGTAATTTACTTCACCCTCGGCTCCCATGTGATCGGAAACCGATCCCTTTCCAAAGCCATCCAACAACAACGATTGGGTGTCAACTTCTGTAAATTAGTTTAAAAATTCGATCTCCTCCCATGGATGTTCTTCGCACCATTATCTACGATCACGACCCACCTCCACAGCCTCCTGGAATCATGGCACTTAACCATGAATTCACCTTTTTTCACCAGGGATCTAGCTACGCAACTAACAAAACATTAGAGATCCAAGTTATTCCATTTTATACTGGGTCGTGTTGAATATGTCGCTCGATCGCCGGAAGTGATGACAACTCGTTCTTCATTTGTACCAATTGGGAAATTCATGTTTTGCTCCGTTGATGGAGCGATTTGCATCGATGAAATTAGTGTTATTGTTAGAGTGCTTCACTCGAGTATGAAAGTTATTTCGGAAAGATTAATTTACCCGTTCTTGAATCAAAGTGAAGAAGAGCTTTGTGAATCTAACACCTATGAAACGAACTTGTAAAATTTTAGAAGTTCTTATTTTCTACATAAAGAAAAGACCAAGAGCTTCACGCTCGATTTGATTATATTGAAAAACCCACTTTATCTTCAATCATAGTCTCTTCATCCAGGTAATTTGCAAAGAACTCTTTGTGTATTTGACCAAATTGAAAGACCCACTTTATATATTTGGAGCATTGTGACCTCATGCTTCACATAGAGCAATCGTGAAAATGAGAACAAGAGAGAGAAACAAAAAAATGAGAACTTGAGAGAGAAATGAGAGGGAGGAGGAGATTAGGGTGTTTCTAGAACTCAGAAGGAAGAAGATGGTGACGCGATTGGGGATATGGCAGTGGGAGTGAGTTTTGGTAATGATGATATGGCCAGTTACGGAGAGTCCGGTTGGTGACGGAAGGCAGTGTCTCTGGAGTTCGATAACAGTAGGCGGAAGGGAGGTGCTAAGAGGGGGATATGATGACAGGATTGATCGATTGTAAGTTATGGAGTGTGGGCCTGTGGGGTATATTTTGAGGTGGGATAGGTTTCATTTTCAAGAATAATTGTATATTAAATATAAAAGGGTAGATATGTCTTTTCACCATGGTTTGACAGCAAAATAGGCAGGAAATTAATTTAGGGACTGGGCGGGTAACAAATTTAAGTTTTGGGGATGGTCCGAGTTAAAAAAAACTTTTTAGAGACCAAACGTGGAAGTAACCCCCAACCACAGGACCATCCGTGTGATTCACTCTAATGATTGAAAAACTCATGAACTGGTAAATCTACAAATGAATTAAAAGTTTTTGACTGAATAATTTCCAAGTCATTCGCAATATTTCTTTTTTATTAAACTTTTGAAAATAGTCGTATTGTAAATGCCCTAATGCTTGGAGAGTGTTATTAGAAAAATGACATATTTTAGCATCATTATATATATATATATATATATATATATATAT